GGCTCTTTGGCCATGTTCTGAAGGTTGTTCTTCCTAACGTTTCGCCAGTCTCTGTGGCCGGCATCTTCAGAGGACTGGAGTCAGAACTCACCAGAGCACGGACAGAGTTCTGATTCCTGTCCTCTGAAGATGCTGGCCACAGAGACGGGCAAAACATTAGGAAGAACAACCTTCAGAACACGGCCAAAGAGCCCAAAAAATCCACAACAACCATTTCCAAACTTGGGTCCAACATAAATACACAAGGTGCCATTGATCTAGACCAAGACCATGGACATTGGTTAGATGAGACACAAACCATCCTCCAATAGTTATCCTTCCGTAATCTCGTGCTCTCATGGAACTTTTTAAAAAGAAAAAGAAAAGCCCCTCTGCACTGGTGCCAGTGGAAGGGTTTTCCAATTCTTGTGCAGTTTCCAAAGAGCAAAGGGTGAATTGAAGCAAGGCCGTGGTTGATAAGGAGGTTCTGCTCGTACCAACAGGTCCTGGTCCACAACAACATGCTTGCTTTGGGAGCAGGGGGGAGGATGTTTACCTGTGTGCTCCATATTTATAGCTCAGTGGTTTAGGTCTCTAGCTGTGGAGCCAGAGGCTGGGAGTTTGATTCCCCCACTGTGCCTCCTTGACAGGGGTCTGGACTTGATGATCCATAGGGTCCCTTCCAGCTCTGCAGGTCTAAAGATTATTATTTCATGCCACATGCAGCTTCACCACAACAGAATCCAAAAGTCATGTGAATCTGCTCTTCCACCACTGCATTCCTTGATCATACCAACTTGTATCGATTAACCCTCCTGTGTACTTTATATTTTTCCTACCTGATGGATCACAGTATGTTCGCCTGAGATCCACATCATAGTTGTTCGTGAGAGAGCACCACAACCTTCCTTTGGCTTCCCCATCTTTTGTGCAGGTTGAGTAGGATGTGCCGTTGTAGATAAAAGGGAAGACACATGGTCCCTTGGGGCTTGCATCTAATCCTGGAAAAGGGAGCATACCAACACACGCAGTAAAGCCACGGTTTCACTGTAGGTCAGTGGTCCCCAACCTTGGGCCTCCAGATGTTCTTGGACTTCAGCTCCCAGAAATCCTGGCCAGCAGAGGTGGTGGTGAAGGCTTCTGGGAGTTTTAGTCCAAGAACATCTGG